GTTTCAGCAGCTATAAATTCAACATAATTTTCACTTTGGTGAACACTGGAGCTGTACAGTTATCCAAAAGCACATTGTCCTTCCCAGCTGTGTGTCCTGATCCCAGAGCAGGCACAAAGTATGTGTGTGTGGCACAGAGCTTTGTTACACCATGGTGCCTGGGTTAGCTTGGATACTGGAAGCACTGAAGTGCTTTTGTGGGGTTAAATGGGACTCTAGGTTTTTACCAGTGTTGTAACTTCTTCTTTGCTTTCTTTTTTTCTTTTTGCTTTTTTTTTTTATAGTATGGGTTTATTAATTAATTGAACTTTGACTTCATCAAACCTTCAGATGTTTCACTTACAGTGACTGCTGTTAGCACATCCGAAAACAATATTGAGAGATATGAATCTGAGTGTCTCAGTCACCTTGTGCTTGCTCACTGTTGAATTTCCCTTTCCATAGGGAGAAGTTGCAGTTAGAAATAGAAATTGCCTCTTCCCATTGCTTCATTCACTTTGTAGCAACACTAGCTGCCTTTCTTCAAGAAAGTGAAGGGTTTGGATTTTAACTTGCACACAGGCAAACCAAGTGTTAAGCCTGAAAAAGAAACCCATCCAAGGACTTATATCTACTCCCAAATAGCATTTCAGTTTCAATTCTCCTCCTGTTCTGTCTGAGCATGGCTCCTCCACACTAGACTGTGTGTTTGGGTCTGACTTTTAGGGCTCTGTGGCTTCATTGCCAGTGTTAATGTCAAACAAGGAAGTGCTGCTGCTGTGTGGATGGCAAAACACAGGTGGAAGGAATGAAAGAGTAAAAAACGGGTGTTTCTAAAAGTATGAAACAGGAGAGAGTATAGTAGAGAATACAAAAGGCTTTTATGAAGTTTGTTCATGACAAGGCTCTTCGTAAGATGGATCCACTTTAAGTGGTCTAGTGAGAAGTGTCCCTGGCCATGGCAGAGGGTTGGGAGTAGATGATCTTTAAGGTCTATTCCAATCCCATAACATTCTATGATATTCCAAACCAGCAGTAGTTGAATTGAAGCCTTTTGGTTTCTTGTATTCTAAATGCAGAACTGCACAACTGGGGGAGGGGAATGCCATTTCTTTGTATCATCAAATCCTAAAATTCTGTGCTAATTGATGATAAAGGTGTTTTATAGTTGGAGCAATGCTTTGGTTAAGAATAGAACCATTATATTTCTCTAGAAGATTTATAATCTGTGTCTTAGCTTAGCATCTTACTTAACAGATTGTGTCCATGATAACTTTGAATTACAAGTTATTTATTGGCAGTCTTTTGCATTGCAGTCAGTGGTAATAATTGAGATCTTCAGTGTCAGCTTATAAAATATTTCTTGGTACCTGGAAAGCTTTTTAGATATTGTAGAAGTTTTAGATCTGTTGACTGTTTCTGCTGCATCCTGCCAGATCCATAGCTGTCCTTTGCACAGTGGGGTTCTCTTGAGCTAATGCATATATAAGTGTATATATAAATATATGCATATTATTATAGATTCAAAAAATGGGGTGAGGAAACAAACAGAAGGAGTGATGTGTGGCAAGAGTGAGGAAACAGTGTTCCAAGTTCAAGCCATTGCTGTGGTATACATGGATTGCCACACAGCCTCATGCAGATCTTTTGACTTCTGCATCTGTTTTCATGTGAACTTGGTAAAATATTAACACATGTAAGGGGAACTAGGATTAAATTGTTAATATTCGTATACCTCTTGCACATCTACTCATGATTTATTGGTGTAACAGATATTTTTCAGGCTGCTTAGTCGTGAATCTTCTTAATTTTGTGTTGTCAGGAGGAGGAAATAGGACAAAAATATTTCTTTCAAGTTTCAGCCAAAGCATTTCTGCCAGGAGACACTTGCAAGGGAGGCAGAGCATTAGAAATGAAGTGAATATGACAAGGTAGAGTACAGTTTCAGATGTAAGTATGTATTAGCCTGCAAATTTCAGTGGTTGTCCTGGGCATTTTGTAAAGGTAGGAAAAATGATGTGTATGTATTTAGAGTCACTGTGTATAACCTTGTACTTTCTTCTGAGAACAAGAGCTCTTTGAAGCATCAGGAGCACTGAAAATCCAGACAGTTTGTTCTTCAGATGCTTCAGTAAGGCTCTGCAGAAAACTGGGATTGTGAATGGGCTGTTTCTCAGTGTAGTGTTAATAACAGAATGTGACTGAAAGGGCTTGCTTAGTTTAGGACACATCTCATGTTTTAGGGAACAGCCTGTTTTGAAAATTAGTATGAGAACTGTTAACAACTTGCAACCAAGCAAATAAAAATCCTTTTTTTGTTGTCTTCCCCACCAGCAGAGACCTGTGAGTGATTCATATGTCAGAGATCCAGTGTGTTTCCTAACTGTGTCAGAGAGCAAATGGAAGAGACAGTTTGATCCAACAGATAATTCACTGATGGAAATTCTGGATTCAGTCCTAGTACTTTGGGGCCTTGAGGGGTAAAAAATGGAAACAGTAATTTGGTTGTTTTTTCATCTTATGCCTGTATGCTTTTTGCATGTTTGAATTAGGCTCTTCCAGGAAAGGATCTTCTCTGCTGTGTTTATGAATGAACAGCAGAGGGGCAAGGAAACAGACTGAGAAAACGGAAGAAGAACTTTGTCCATACAAACTGTAATAATAATAGACATTTTATAAAGTACAATGTTACTTTTACACATACAAGCAGTTAGGTTTTTAATGTGTTGGTGGGCATTTGGTAGCAGTGCTGGTGGTTACTGTAATCATTGTAACAGTACTAGTTCACTGTATTGCAGGTGTAGCTGTTAGTTTGAAATACAACCTTGAGAAAAGACTTTTAACACTGTATCCCAGTTTCTGTAATAATGGGTATGATTGTACTGTAGCTTGAGTCTCATAAACCAGAGAGTAGACATGACAGACAGGAGCTCAGCAGGTTTTCTCAGACTGGCTTACAGTTGTGCCCCAACTCTCATCCAAGGCAGCATCTTGCAGCCTTTGCTTAATTTAGAAAGCAGCTCACAGCCAAAGTATTTCCTTACTTTTTTTTTTTTCAAAAATACAGTAATAGTGCAGTTGTCAGGGCAGTTCAACTTGATCACGTAACCAAAGTGCTTTTAAATTCCTGTCTATCCAAACCTTACTAGAGGACAGAATGCTTCACTTTGATGGGCTGATGTGTCTTATGTTAGTGAGTTGCATGTGTCTCTTGCGCTCACAAAACGCCCTGTAAGTCAAGTACTTCTTGCAGCTTTTTTTGTACTTCAGCCTTGTGGTAATATTTGTTGCTCCCTGACTGTGGAGTTACAATGATGTCTTTGTTTGCTCTGTGTGGACTGAACATTCCTTAGGGAAAAGCTGAGTTAATAGTGAGGATCACATTTCAACATGATGACATGAAAACAGGTAAGGTAACTTAGAGTGTTTTTTAAATCATCTTGTACATCTGAGTGTGCAGATGAGCCTGAGAAAGGACCTGCTGTGTGAATTTTGGTTAAAATACACTGTTCTGCTGATTGGTAATTCTTGTGTGTCAGGTGAGAGTTCCACATTTGTGTAATGTGTGAATATTTACATATAAATATTTGCATGCATTTCTAATCACTCAGATCTTGTAGGAGCAGGCAAGAAGTGAGGTCTGTAATAACTCTTCAGGTAGAGTTGTCCTATTTCAGTTCTTAGCAGGGATGAGTTACTGTTTCTGATGAGTTACTGCTGAATTGTTACTGTTTCTACTGACTATAGCACACGATATGATGCTTTCTCTGGTAACAGTAACTTACTGTCACTGTTATCTTCTCAGGCAGCAGCACTGGGTTGGTACAGGCAATGTAGACGTTACTGCTGTTTTCTTGGCCACCCTCAGCAGCAGTAAAAGGGAGGTAAACCTGTTTCTATGATGAAACTTCCTTATATTTTTGCATGACTTACAGCATGTCTCAAAGTGAAACCAGAAACTTTCAGACCTCCTGTAACAGGAATCAGTCTGGAAATGTCACCAAAGAGCAAGAAAATTAATTTTACTAAACATTGTTAGTATAATTTAGTTTTCCAAGCTAAGTCCTCAGGGTAAAAAAAAACAAGTTAAGCAAGTGCTTGAGTTCATCTGTTCAATTAGTCATAGAATACTGCTTTTGCTTCCACTGCAGCCAGACATTAAGCAGTTAACTGTGATCATTTTCCTGGTCACTAACCTCTCTGTCATTGGAAAATGTGAAGCAAATTTTCAAAATATTAAGGAAAAATCTGGAAATCACTTCTTTTGCCCTCTTTCCTTTTGCCGTCTTTCCCTCTCTGTCACTTAACAGCTTATGCATTGGACAAAAGAAGTCCTTTGTTATTTCTACAAATTAGTTTCATTTAGTAATTCACTGGGGTTGTTTGTATGAGCAAAAATAATAGTGATACTCTTCAGAGGAGCAGAAATTATACTTTTCTGAATGAGATGTGGAAAAAGCTTGATTTGCTTCCTAGGACTAATATCAGCATCACTTGTTTTTGCAAATGTAGGGTAATACCTGAGAGAGAAATGTGGAAAAACACAGTCATCACCTGTGCCTCTGTGGCTGACATGCCTCTTGTTCAGCATTCCAAGAGTTGGTGTCCCTCTGTTGCTTCTCCCTATAATTTACTCTCACACACCTGTGAATCACAGCTTGCTGTGTGCAATTAAAGTATCTCAGTTCTATCACAAATCAAACAATAGGTGTCTGAATGCTTTCCCTTTGCAAAAATTCATAGAAATAAATACCTAAAGTTCTCCTTCCTGTTCAGCTCTGCTCAGATTCTGACATCTGCTAGAGTTACATGTGACTGCATGTGTCATCTGTTCAATCATGGACTCACAGACTGGTCTGAGTAGGAAGGGACCTTAAAGCTCATCTTCTTTCAACCCCCTGCCACAGGCAGGGAGACCTTCCTCTGCCTCCCTGTTTTCGTGTCAAGCTTTGTGAAATGATTTAAGGACAAATATCTATTTTTGTCCAACAGCAATGAGAAGATCCGAGTAGAAACTCACAATGGAGGCAAAATCCGTGGTCATCGGCGTGTTGGGGATGACATGCAATTCCTGTGTTCAGACGATTGAACAGCATGTTGGGAAGATGAATGGCATCCATAACATCAAAGTAAGTAACACTATCACTGCTTCTTACAAAGCTTTGTCCTTATATGAGAAACCATGAGAAATTACACACCAAGATTTCATGGGAAGCTGATGTTGGAGGTGCATTAGTGTATTTCAGGTGTATAAAACTAAAACAAGTGCTTACTTTACTGTAGTGGTTAAATCATTCTCTGTTGCTCTTAATCAATTTTGTACTTTACAGTTTTGGAGATATGTGGTCATTGCCTGTAACTGGTTTTGACTGGCTCACTGTGGTACACCATTCCCTCCAGAGGCAAGTGATGCACTAGTTAGTACAGGTTCCTTTTGCCTGGAGTAGGTGCTCACTTATGCACACAGAAATTTCGGTGAGGAGCAGCAATGTTTACAAGACATACTTTTTCGTCTTCCTACAACTGTAATGGAACTTTAATGTGAGCTGAGGCTGTGCTCTGACACCAGAACCTGGGAGCACTTGGGAACAGACCTCTGCATGGTTTGATCAGATAAATCACTGCGTGTCTGCGAGTGTGGAGACAGATGAAGGCTAAAAGCACCCTGTAAAATGATACCCCCAAATTTCTGAATCCTCTACTTCTCCCTTATTCAGCAAAAGATGTAATCTCATCGGCTTTGTGGTTTCTCAGCTAATTTCTGAGAATGTACAGATGACTTAGGAGAGATTCATATTCCAACTTGATTGAAGACCATGTGCACTCCGTAGTGTCTTCTACGTAAGGAATGAAACAGGTTTATAAAGAGACAGCATTAAGAGTTTGGTATTTAGGTTTTAAGGGTCTTTTTAACCTTATCCCAAAGCCCAATACTATTTCAAAAAATATATTACAAAAACTTAGTCTGAGCAGAACAGGACTATAAGAAACTTTGAGAGGTCATACTTAGTAATTATCCTCTTTAGTGCATCAGAGCTTCAGTTTAGCCGAATCAGCTGATAGCAAAAATTCTCTGAAAGCAGTAAAGCAGGGTTTTATTTCATGATTATGAGTTGGGTCAGCAAGGGACATGAATGTTAGGTGGCTAATACAATCAAACTGCTGCTTTTAAGTTATTTTGCCTCCAAATGCAATGAAACCAATAAATGTCCATGTTGCAAATCTGCTAAGGCCCATAATTGGGACAAAAATGAGGAAAGGCAGTTCTTAAACTGATTTAACTGATGTGATTTAATCATGACTATGGTCTTAGGTTGTACCTTTGCCCAGAGGAAAGATAGAATTCAATGATAATGTGTTGGGCCTCTGGCAGGCATCTGCTTTTCCTTGTGGAAACTGCAGTTATTGTGTTTGATGTATCATCCGTTGGGAGCAAATTAAATTGAGGATATTTGTACTGTCTGATGCGAAAGGTTAGTACCAAATCAGGATGTCTCTGAATCACCAAAACGTACAGAGGGAGGAAAAACACCTTCTTTAATGTTTGTCATGTATCAGGTTTTGAAACTGAATTTTGTCCTGTGAAGTCTGATGCAGGATATTGCTCCCAGCAATTACCTGCCTGTGCCTCCCATGCCTGGAAATATCCGGCTACTTTCACTGCTGCTTAAAGCTGTGCGTTTATTCAAGAGTGTTTTCTTCCATCCTTGTAGCCTGAGGGTAATTACAACTAACTGCATTAGAATTATTACTAACTGATTGGAATTTTTTCTGTGGGCTGTTTTGCTTTAGGGATTGAATTGGGTTAATCATCATAATTCGAGAGAATTTGGTTCTGGTAGTTCCATTAAATGCATCAGTGCTGTCTGGATGTTGTAAGTAAAACTGGCCAGACAGTCTTGTAAAGGTTTCTGAAATTGGGAGTGAGGGGTGGGATCTGTTCTTTTCAGCAGTATTGCTGAGCAGAAGAGCTGTTCTCTGTGGTGGCTACGGGTATGGCTTTACTCTTCAAGGTTAGTAGTGAGGGATATAGTCATACTGGACAAGTCTTACTAATTTATGTGAGTAAAACCTACTTCTAGTCTTGTGCAGTATTAGTTCTCAGCTCTTGGTGTTGTAGTTTGCTAAATTGTTTTGGTTTTCCCCTGCAAGGTCTCTCTAGAGGACAAGAATGCAGTTGTCATCTATGACTCCAAGCTGCAGACTCCAGCGACGCTGCAGGAAGCCATCTATGACATGGGATTTGATGCCACATTAGCTGATTCAAACCCACAACCTGTTTTACCTGACACTATTTTTCTTACTATTCCTACCCAGTCAGCCCTAACACCCAAGCAGATTTGTAGCACTCTGCTGAAGAACAAAGGGATTGTGGATGTGAAAGTGTCCTCTGACCAAAAATCTGCAGTGGTGACCTTCATTTCTTCCATCGTAAATGGCAAGCAGATTGTCCACATGGTCCCAGGGGTAGATTTAAATATCTCTACAGCAGAGGTAATACCTGGAACTTGGGAAGATTCCAACTGGTCTCAACCGAGTAGTGTTGGGCTGCGCCTGAAAGTTGATGGGATGACCTGTCACTCCTGCACCAGCACCATCGAGGGGAAGCTTGGCAAATTGCAAGGAATTCAGAGGATTAAAGGTAAAAACCTTGGTGTATTTTGATGTAAATTGAAGTTGGTCCTGCTGTTGTCTGATAGTATTACTGGAGGTGTCTTGGGTTTAGGTGAGATAACTCAGTGTGACAGTGACTCTTTGTGGTACCAGGTGTTGAGTTAGGTGTTTAATTTGGACTGGAAGTGAAGAAATTGGCACAAATTGTGGTGAGGCTGTTGCTGTTACATGTGTGACAGTGGTTGATTTGTATTTGGTAGAGAGCCTGGGCTAGTTGTGTTTAATAATTTTATCACTAGTTGTCTCTAATATCAGATGGGGGTTTTTATACTGAAATTAATAGTAGTTTATATTTTCTGTTCATTTAAAAACTAATATTGGCATAGATGTGTTTTTGTGTAAAAGGAAAGGTGAAATTGTTTATACAAATAGCTTTGGTGTCAATGTATTGCCACAGAACCTTATAAAAGGATACATTCAGTAAGAAATAGGACTGCCACAAATGGCATCACTGGGGAAAGAGCAAAAAATTGAGGAAAAGAGGAGTCGAAAAGCACAGAATCACTGAATAGTTAGGATTGGAAGGGACCTCTGGAGATCAAGTCCAACCCCTCTGCCAAGGCAGGTGACACAGGAACACGTCCAGGTGGGTTTGGAATGTCGCCAGAGAGAGAGAGACTCCATGCCCCCCTGGGTACCTGTTCCAGTGCCTGGGTGCCTGTTCCTGTTCAGTGGGAAGAAGTGTTTCCTTGTCTTGAGGTGGAACTTCTTATGTTTTAGTTTATGGCCATTACTCCTTCAATTGTTGTAACAGTAGACAAAAAATTGTTAAAGAACCAAGTTGTTTGATGTTTACCAAATGTCTCCAAGAGAGACTCCATGCCCCCCTGGGTACCTGTTCCAGTGCCTGGGTGCCTGTTCCTGTTCAGTGGGAAGAAGTGTTTCCTTGTCTTGAGGTGGAACTTCTTATGTTTTAGTTTATGGCCATTACTCCTTCAATTGTTGTAACAGTAGACAAAAAATTGTTAAAGAACCAAGTTGTTTGATGTTTACCAAGCCAGTTATTTCTTCCTTCTGTTGTGGTTACATTCCTGACCATTTAAAGTGTTCTTGGAAAGCTCTGACAAGATCTGTTGCTCTCAGGGTAATCTGCTCATTATGCATAGGGCAGTAATCCACAATTATTGATTCATTTTCAGTATCCCTGGACAATCGGGAAGCTGTTGTTGTCTACCAGCCTCACCTCATTTCAGCAGAAGAAATAAAACATCAGATTGAAGCAGCAGGTTTCACAGCATCCTTCAAGAAGCAGCCTAGACCCCTGAAGCTGAGCACGATTGACCCAGAGAGGCTGAGGAGCACTCAGCCCCAAAGCTCTGAGACAGCACTGAGAGAAAACTCCAGTGCGACTGGTGCAAGGACAGTTGTGTTCAGAGTTGATGGTATGCACTGCACATCGTGTGTCCTCAACATCCAGCGCACCATATCAGCACTCCCAGCAGTGATAAGTGTTGTTGTTTCATTGGAGAAGAAATCTGCTGTTATAAACTATAACCCAAACCTAATTAGCACAGACATGCTGAGGAAGGCCATAGAGGCTGTGTCTCCTGAGACATTTAGAGTCAGCCTGCCTGAGGAGTATGGAAATGTAGCACTTTTCCCCACATTGTCTCCACTGAAGTCTCCTCTCCCAGCTTTGAAGGATGCCAGCTGGCCACTCATTCAAGTGGCTGTGATAAATATTGAGGGGATGACTTGCAACTCTTGTGTGCAGTCCATCGAGGGAGTCATATCCCAAAAGGCAGGTGTGAAATCTGTTCATGTCTCTCTCACAAATCGAAATGGGACTATAGAATATGACCCTCTGCAAACGAGCCCAGAAGACTTGATATCCTCAATAGAGGATATGGGGTTTGATGCATCTTTACCAGGTAATGACATAGTAAACCTTAAAATTATGAGGTTTTGTTTAGCATTTGGTAGCATCCAAGATAAAATTTAGCAGCTGACATAACACTTTCTGCTTGCCAAGTGAAGCTTTATATCTTCACTGCCAGTGACATGATTAAAGGTATATGCACAGTCTTTAATACATCAGATTAATTAAAATGATTGAGATATCTGAAAATAGAAATGTGTCAGATAAATACTGATGTGCAAATGCTGCTCCTGTTTGCTACTCTATCATATTTGTGGCATGAATATAGACTGGGAACTTTGCTAACTGTGAAGGATGTTATGGATTGCTGTGGTGAGATTTATTTAATAGTGAAGTAGCAATTACTTGGGTCCTGTGAACTAGTGAGGGGAGATTTAACCAGGCTTGGCTATGACTGGGGAGTGACTGGAATCTGAAGAGTGTGGACATCACTGAGGATGTTAAAATGATGCTGCTCTGTGAGAGCCCTGGTAGGCAGCTCAGCACCACCCAGCCATTTGCTCACTGCCCTATAGGGGATGGGGAAGAGAAGGGTAAAAAAAGAACAGAAAATTTGTGGATTGAGATAAAAATCAATTTAGCAGGTAAAGCAAAAGTGTCCATGCAAGCAAAGCAAGGAATTAATTCCTTACTTCCCATGGATGGGCAGATGTTTATCTACAGGAGAGCAGGACTCCCTCACGTGTGACAGTGCCATCACTCCAAACATCCCCTTTTCCTCCTCCCAGCTTTATGCTCAGCATGATGCCATATGGTCTGGAATATCTCTTGGGTCAGGTGGGGTCAGCTGTGTCCCCTCCCAACTCCTTGTACACCTCCAGGCTCCTGTCTGGCAGGAACAGAGCACTCCTGTGTCAGCACTGTGCAGCAGGCACCGAAACATTTGTGTGTTCCCAACACAGCTCACGGGTCCAACGTGGCACCCAGTGAGCTACTGTGAAGAAAATTAATCGTGTCCCAGCAAAACCAGTACAGATGTTTACTGTGACGACTGGTACACTAAAAGCTATTGCAGTGGGAGCTGATGCCTAGACAGCAGAATGCACAAGTCCTGTGTGGAGAATACAGGCAAATATTAATAGGAAGAGAGGATTCCTGAGGGGACAGGGAAGCTCTGCTTCTCACTTCAGTAAGATTAAATATTGATAAATACAGTACATGAGCTATTTTGTGGCAATAACTGAAGAAGTGTTCACATGCTCCCAATTCCTTTCACCCTGCTCCTTCACAAACACAGCATCCCCTGAACTGCTGTAAGAAGCACATGTCTGTAGTTTGTGAGCTGTTCTCTAAGATCAAAAACATTGACTTTGCTTATGAAATGTGCACTTGCTTACAAATTCAGCTTTATGCTCCAGGTAAAGTCAATAAAATTGTGTGTAAAAACTAAGGTTGCAATGCAGATGTTTAGCTTACAGCCTGCAGAAGAGGGCAAAGACCATCCAACAGAGCAAAGACAATGAGGAAAGGCAAAAGGGAAAAGAGTAACAAAACAGTAAGTTTATCACTGATCCAACCCTTTTACTTGTTTTCTCTTGCTGACTCTTAATTGCTGGACAGGTGGATGGATCTGAGTGGCAAGGCATGTACAATTACTAGTGTTAGTCTAGGTGTGCAGCAGCCTGTCTTTGGGGCTGGTGTAACACTGGCTCATACCTCGTTGCAGTGACTGTTCATATGTCACAAACTTCAATCTCCTTTCCAGCGAAGGCAGAACTACCTCTGGCCAAAGCTCAGCCCTCACCTGAGATGCAGCTGGACTCACAGAAACCTGAGTTGCCCTCCAAAGTGCCACCAGCCCACCTTGCTAGGCAGGAGACAAAGACCATCTCCAAGTGCTATGTCCAAGTCACAGGAATGACGTGTGCTTCGTGTGTAGCCAACATTGAGAGGAATTTGAGAAGAGAAGATGGTAAGATATGTGTCAGTGTGATCTGTTACGATTCTACGTATTTGTTTTGGAGAATCCATTTGGGTTTTGTACAGTGTTTTTAATGGGTGTGTTGTCAGGAGAAGGAGCATTGCAGGGGTGTTCCCTGGGCCTGTTCATAGGAAGGGATCAGGGTTGTTCTTACTGCTTTATGGACATGTTGGCTAAAGTCTTCCTTTCCAAAAAGAAGAGCCAGAGTGCTCCAGAGAATACAGGCATCAAATATGGATCCTTTTGAAAGTAACACAAATCTTTCCTACTGCAGGGAGGTGCCCAGATGTGCACCTGAAAGGCAGAAGTGTATGTGTTGTATGTTAGGAAGGGACTATTAGAGTATTAGTGGAGATTAAAGAGACACAAGTTAATTTTAGCTCTGCGAGTCAGGGCAGCTACATCTATCTGCTGTCAGTGTGATGATTGTATTTGCAGGGACAAAGAGCTGCACGACCATGATGTAACAGAGAGTCATTCATGTAGACTGTGTTTAGTTATTGTAATGAAGGTGAAGGTGTTTGAGGTTAACCTGTATTTTAACTTTTTTCATCCTAGAAAATGGATTAATCTAAATCCTTTCAGTGTGCAGTAGGATTGCACTTTGTTAGATCTGCCCCACCTCATACAGGTTCTCCCTTGAAGAAAAGCACTCCAGACTGGTAAATGCAGGTCAGAAAATTATGCAGCACTCAGTTTTAGAAGAACTTCTTTTAAGTAAAAATAGATCATCTTTTCATGTAGCATAGACAGAATGTTTGTAATTAGGCTGTAAAAAACATGCTACTCAGGTGGAGTAATGCTTTCATCTGTCACACCTGCACTTAGGTGCTGTTGTGTTGTTGGTGTAGCTTCCAAAAATGGTGATGCTTCTCTTTACATGCAATATGGGGAGCTTTCCCAATTTCAATAAATGGGTTGTGCCCTCATGTTACCATGAACACAGGGTTTTTCTTAAACATCATCTGCCACTCACATACTTTGGTTTTTTTAGGAATACATTCAATACTTGTTGCCCTCATGGCAGGAAAAGCAGAAGTGAGGTATAATCCTGCTGTGATACACCCTTCAGCCATTGCAGAGCTCATACGGGAGTTGGGATTTGGAGCCACCGTGATGGAAAACTGTGGTGAAGGAGACAGAATTCTGGAACTTGTTGTAAGCTAGTAATTAAAACCAGTCACCCTCATCTTTTATTACTTTTATCTATTGGATGTACTTGTGTAAGCATCCACTTACTGAAGTTTAAACATATAATGGGGCTTTAATGTACAAAAAATGAAGTATGAAAATACATCAGGTATGTATCACAAATTATACCTTGTCCTGCAAACTGTGCTGCCTCACTGCTACTATATTGAAGTCAGAGAAATATTCCTGTGATTTTCTGATTGCTCTCCCTAGTGCAAGAATTTATTTTATTTCTTTTTGAAGCAGAGTCTAGCTCAGTGTACCCCAGCTCTGAGCTTGAAGAGCCAACAGAGCTTTAGGAGAGTTTAATAACCTTGTCTCTATGCTGTGCTTCCTCCAAGAAGCTTGGATGGGCCTCTGAGCAGCATGATGTTGTGGGAGGCATCCATGCCCATGGCAGGAGCTTGCAACCAAACGGTCATTTATGGTCCCTTCCAACCCAAACCATCCTGTGATTCTGTAGTGCTCACATCCTAACTAGAGAGCTCCATCTCACCCCTTCAAACCCCAGAATAAAGCAGTGAATAATGCAGGACAGTCATAAGCACTTTTTCTTCTCTTACTTTTTAAGGTGCATTTGCCAGGTAACCTGCAGGGGTTTTAACCTGCATTTACTAGGAACCTCTATTTTACAGGTGAGAGGGATGACATGTGCATCTTGTGTGCACAAGATAGAATCCACCCTCATGAAGACTAATGGCGTTTTATACTGCTCAGTTGCTCTTGCAACCAACAAAGCACATATCAAATATGACCCTGAGGCTATTGGTCCTCGAGATGTTATACAAGTGATAAAGGTGAGACTCAGAAAATATCCGGTGTCCTTTGAAGAGTTACACACCCCAGAAACTAAAGGGAGGCTGTTAAAGGAAAAAAATTACTTCTTTTCTTCCATCCACTTCCTTCTTAGGGCAGCTAATATGTGTGTTTTGGCTCAAAAATTATGCTCTGTTATGACTTTGCTTAAGTTTTTAAATGGAAATACTATGAGAGCCAGGCTGTGGTGGTGGTGGAGTTGGAGATACTAGCTATAGGTTTGTAGAAAAATAAAGCACATTTATTTTAAAAAGATAAGTACTGTAGCAGGTGAGAGGTAAAATAAGTTTCTCAGCCTTCTCTTTCAATTTCTCTGCTCCTGTGCTTCAGGAAAAACCATTTTGGAAAGCCACTTTTTAGAACAGCTTTTTAATATTCTAGAAAGGTTGATTTTCTCTCTTTACAAGATAACTAAACAGCAGTAGCAATCATATCAGAAATGTGAATAAAATCAAAGGCAAGTGGCAATGGGTGAGCACAAAGTGTGTTTAAAAAAATCACTGTTCTTTTTTTTTCATTATTATGTTTTTCTCCTTAGGATTTAGGTTTCACTACTTCCTTGGTCAAAAAGGATAGATCTGCTAGTCATCTAGATCACAAACAGGAAATTAGGCAGTAAGTATTCCTGAACATACTTAGATTCTATAAACAACTTTGATTCTTCTCTTTTAATCAATAGTAAAGTTAGGATTTTTTTTTTTTTGTAACTATGCAGACTTGCTAACATAAATGTTCTCCAGCATTTGACTGCACTACAAGTTGTTTTTTCTTTTTTTCCTCTTTCTAAACCTGAGGTGGAAAAGGTCTTTTGTTGTGAGCCTTGTTTTCTGTATCCCTGTCATGGGGCTGATGATTTACATGATGGTGATGGACAGTCAGCTTGCGGATGCTCACGTGCATCACAACATCAGCAGTGAGGAGATGGAGGCCCTTCACTCCTCCATGGTCCTGGAATACCAGCTCCTGCCAGGATTGTCTGTTATGAATTTTCTGTCGTTTTTACTCTGTGTCCCTGTACAGGTAAGTGGAATTATGACAACTTCTGGCTGGTTGGGTTAAGCACTCAAAATGGAAGGTGACGAAGAGATTAAACTGGAAAAGTGAATATACTTATGCTGATTCAAAATGCTTTTGAGGTTGTTATGTGCTTCTGCTGTTGTGAAAATAATAGGTGCTGGGGACTGTTATGGGCAGGGCAGTCAGTGTACAGGTGTTTTGTACCCAGGCAGCTTTGAGGCAGTTGGTGGGAACAGGGAGGAGCTGGTGGGTATGACCTGAGAGTACTGGAGTAGAGATCACAGCTGGCACTTTGTTCAGAAAGAGACTGAGAAGGCAAATAACACAAATAAAATGGGTGTCTCCTCTTTTATGGAAATGCTGCTGCTGTGTGTTACAAGTGCAGGTGTGTGTAACATCTCAGTGCTGCTCTCATTGCAGATATTTGGAGGTTGGCATTTCTACATCCAGGCATACAGAGCACTGAAGCACAAAACTGCCAACATGGATGTGCTAGTTGTGTTGGCAACCTCCATTGCATTCCTCTACTCCTTTGTTATTCTCCTAGTTGCAATGGCTGAGAAAGCAAAAGTAAACCCTGTCACATTCTTTGACACACCTCCGATGCTGTTCGTGTTCATCTCGCTGGGCCGGTGGCTGGAGCACGTGGCAAAAGTAAGGAAAATAAGAATCCGTGATAGCTACAAGTTGCAAGACACTAAGAATCATTTCAGAATGTTGTGTACGTTTAAAAAAAATCCCATGAAAAAACTTTGTTAGCTTCTTTTAACCTTCTGTGTTGTAAAATCATCTTCAGTGACTGAACTAGTAAAAATACAAAATGACTTAGTATCAGTCGGTTTGCAGAAAGTATTTTCTTAATAGGGTAAATTGCAACATGCACAGTTGTCATTTACCCAGCTTGTTTTTTCAATAGCATAGTCAGAAAAACATGAAAATTATTATTCTAGGGTAAAACCTCAGAAGCACTGGCAAGACTAATTTCATTACAAGCTACTGAAGCTACTATTGTTACCTTGGGCCCTGATAACGTTCTTTTAAGGTATCTTGTTTTGTCATTTGCTTTTTCTGTTGTTCCTTTTTTGTTGCTAATATGCTTAACTCACAGACCAATGTTACCATTCTATAGAGCTATGAAGCAAATAACTTCAGATTTGACAGTTAAAATGCAGAAGAATTAACACTGCTCTGATTTGGTTTATTATTATTGCTAATTTTCATACAATCACAGAATGTTAAGGGGTTGGAATGGACCTTAAAGATCATCTAGTCCCAACCCCTCCTGCCATGGCCAGGGACACCTCTCACTAGGCCAGGTTATTTTTGCTGTGATAAGACAATTAGGGGATTTTTTATAAATGGAAAGGAAATTAAATTATGATAAAATAATCATAGTCCTTTTTAAAATGGCCTTTCTTCTGGCAACTTTATGCTTTAGCAATGCTGACCAATGAGATTATGCTTGGTGTATAGTGATAGCTCCTTTTGCCTGGGTCACTTCAGTTGCAGTCTCTTACTAAAAACGTTGTACATCATTCCAGTGAAGAGCAAGTCAATGTGGAACTGGTTCAACGAGGTGACATTGTCAAAGTAGTCCCAGGAGGCAAATTCCCAGTGGATGGTCGTGTTATTGAAGGACACTCTATGGTAGACGAATCTCTCATCACAGGTCAGCATTTGTGTTCTGCAGGTGTAAAAATGTTCTTCTTTTCCTTTGAACAAACCTAAAGAAGGGGCGTTGAAGCTGATGTTCTTCTTGCTCTTCTAACTGCTTGCTGGGACGTGGTGGGTGTTACAATATTGCTGACAAATGGTCCTTCATGCCTGTTGTTGCCTTTCCTTAGGTGAAGCGATGCCTGTGACTAAGAAGCCTGGCAATACAGTTATTGCAGGTTCTATCAACCAGAACGGATCACTTCTGATTTCAGCAACCCACGTCGGAGCTGATACAACTCTTTCTCAGATTGTTAAACTTGTGGAGGAGGCTCAGACCTCAAAGGTAGAGTACTATCAAATTTAGCATTTGAGTTTTGCCTTCTCATTTAGGCATCAGCATGGCAAATCACTTGAAGAGTAGTTAAGGCTGTTTAGATCTGAATTGCTGCTGCATAATGAAGGATCTTGCTGAATAAGGACTTTGATACAGTCTACTGTGCCAAGTCTCATCCTCTTATTAAGTAAATCTGTAATTATAAAGTGTAGTAAGCCGAGTGTGCTGCAAGTAGCAGCTGTGACTGTATCTGAAGGCGTAGGAGAGAGGAAGCATGATGGTGCTGGAGCTGACGTGTGTCTCCTTCCTAGGCTCCCATCCAGCAATTTGCTGACAAACTTAGTGGCTACTTCGTTCCTTTTATTGTGGCTGTCTCTGTGGTTACCCTTCTTGCCTGGATTATAATTGGGTTTGTGGATTTTGAAATAGTGGAAAAATACTTTCTGGTAAGTTCCTTAAACACCTTCTTGAAATGTTTCATAAATAGCCTACAAGTGTGTTGGGCTGCAGTGGTTCCTTTCTGAATTACCCTTGCAGGCAGTTGCTGACTATAGATATTATATTATTATTATTGCTGTTATAGTTTTTCATATGGCATATTTTTACACTGTATCACTGCTACATTTATACTTAAAGAGAATTCACGGGAATTAATCAACTCCTGAAAGTCAGTATTAAAAAAAAAGTTCATTTAAAAAGTAAACACTAAACATCAAAAATTTCCCAGCATCCATCCCTTCTCTGTGGGGAAAAAGAAATCCCTCATGTCACAAGCTCCAATTCTGTGCTAGCTCTGTTAGCATAGCTCTGTGTAAATTCATCTTGGGAATCAGTGGAATTCCTATTCATTCCAGATGCCAGAGGCAGGTCAGGATCCCAACATGGACTTTAGGGGTGCTTAGATCACAGGTTGCTTGGTTCAAGACTGTTTCTGATTAGAATTTATTAGTTTCCAGGAGAGCAATCATCATAACTGGGAGGTTTTTTTCTTTACTGTATATATTGTTGATAAAGTATCTTTTACTACATTGCAACATAAAAGTTACAGCATGTGGTACCATGTATCGGAAAATGTCCTTTGTATAAAACAGTCATGGGTATAGGCAGAACAGAACTCAGTTAATTAGTCATCCATTTGATCATTAAACTTAGTTTTGCATAACTTTCCTGTGGTTTACTTTTAATACTTTTATCTTATAGATTAGCAGATTTTTCTAACATCCAAGGCGATGTATAATTAAATATACAGTTTCTATTGTTCAGTTTCTTCTCTCACTGAAATCACCTTCTGTCCCCAGGGTTACAATAAGAGCATTTCCGCAGCCGAAGTCATAATCCGCTTTGCTTTCCAAGCCTCCATCACTGTGCTGTGCATCGCGTGTCCCTGTTCCCTGGGATTAGCCACCCCCACGGCTGTCATGGTTGGGACTGGGGTGGGAGCCCAGAACGGCATCCTCATCAAGGGGGGAGAGCCCCTGGAGATGGCACACAAGGTGAGGGATGTGGGTTATGTTACAGGGACTTCCCAGGCTGGTGGTGGCGTATTGCTGCTGCCAGAGCACATCACAGACTGTCCTGACCCACAAGGTCATGCCATGTACATCAGGGATGGCAGAAAGTGACATCTCCTCGGTCTGTGTTAGTAAGTTTGGTCCAAGTGGGTGTTTTTCTGAGACATCTGTACCTTAAAACCAGGTCCACTGAATAAAGTCTTCCTGTTTTGCTGCAGGTCAAGGTGGTTGTATTTGACAAGACAGGTACTATCACCCATGGCACTCCGGAAGTGATGCAGGTCAAGTTTCTGGTGGAGGGTAACCAACTGCCACGTCATAAAATGCTGGCAATAGTGGGGACTGCGGAGAGTCACAGTGAGCATCCTCTTGGAGCAGCAATAACTAAATACTGCAAAAAGGTCAAGTATTGGCACAGGAAAGGAGCAGTTTGTGTGATGGTAGAACCTCTCTTGCAGGACTTTATAAATAACACAAGATTATCCATACATATGAAATAATTACTGTATTCAGTTGAGAAAGCCACATAAATCACTTAAACCATGTTAGATGCACTGGGTATTCAAACTGAGGTTTTGATGATTGATTATTTCCCTCCTCCTGTTTGTTTGACTGCACTTTGTTCTATGAGCTTTGTAAATGGAGTCTATTTTTACATATTCTGAAATTTCCTCCATTTCCATCCTTTTTCTCTAGGAACTGGACTCGGAAACCCTTGGGACATGTACAGATTTTCAAGTAGTTCCAGGCTGTGGCATTAGTTGTAAGGTCACCAATATTGAAGCATTACTCTACAGGAAAAATAGAATGGTTGAAGAAAACAATATTAAAAATGCAACACTTGTGAAAATTGAGGAAAATACAGATGAATCAGTGCAGCCTGTATTGATTATTGATGCTGAACTGCCAAGTAAGTCAATTCTACTTCAGAGAATAAAATGGAGAATTCCTGCTTTTGTCCTCAGGATCTTTAAGAGCGAGGTCCCTTATTTCTGCCCTGGAGAGCTGAGCTGGCATCAAGGCACACATGAAATAGTTGGTCATTTCTTCTATGCTCACACATCAGTCAGGACATCTTGATTCAAATATAATTTGGAGTTACATGTTGAATATGAGGATGGAAAATCATGTAGGAATTGCCTGTCAGCTCTCTCTAGTTTTACTTTGCTTCATCCCAAGTTACCATTTGCTAGGCAAAATTATGCATGTTTGCACAGCTGAGTAGTTTTCACTCCAGATTAGCTCACTGTTAGATCTTTCAGCTGTTTGAGAGAAATTAGAAGTACTGAGAAAGGGTCTTGGTCCTTTTTGACCTGTGAGTTTTGGTCCTCTGACATGGTAGCTCTCCAGAACTGAAGAAATGTCAGTGTCTCTCTTGTCAAGAACACGTGAAGAGATTGATAGGGCAGGAAGTATCGAGGAATACTGTGTTTCTGTTTGGATTCTCTGAAATGCTATTTCAGTGCCTCCTGGGAGAACCTTGATGGGATTAGCTGAAGGGAAGCTCCCTGGTTATCCATGTGATGGCAAGATTGTATTTTCTTCCTTCAGCTACTGTGACTTCTCAGAAATACTCTGTTCTCATTGGGAACCGGGAATGGATGACTAGAAATGGCCTTCTTGTGAGAAATGAGGTTGATAAAGCCATGATGGAACACGAGCGGAGGGGCCGCACAGCAGTTCTGGCAGCTGTGGATGGTAAGGCCAATGCTGCTTCTTTATTCAGTGTGATTTGTCACTGAAATAGCACATAAAATGTAACATAAATAGAAACCAATAAGTAGAATAATGGAATGAAAAGAGATCATTAACCAGTTTTACAGCACTTCATAGGGTAAAGAACTTTTCCTGCCTTTCTTAGCTGACAGGAAAGTTGGGTATGATCGTAGAATGCAAAGACTTCAAGGAGCCAAAGGGGAAGAAAGGAGAAAAAGGGAATGATTTTTATTGTGGTTGGACAATTGATGTGCTGTATTGCTTTAAACTCGTTCTGCTTTTTCCTGTCAATATTTCTGTTTCTGGAACTGATCTTAGTGCAGAAAAACTTCATTGTTTTAGGAAAAAAAAAAGATCTTTATTACAAACACTGTCTTTCTGCTTTTCAGGAGTGCTCTGTGGCTTGATAGCTATTGCTGATACTGTGAAACCAGAAGCTGAGCTGGCAGTCTACACTTTGAAGAGTATGGGCTTAGAAGTTGTCCTCATGACTGGTGACAACAGCAAAACAGCACGATCGATTGCCTCTCAGGTAAGCTGGGGCACATGTGCTTGGGTTTGAAACTCATTGCAACCCACTTGCAGGAAGCAGTTGTGCCATGTCAGTATTGCTGGCATAGATCTGGTCTCTTGTGGAAGATGAGAATGTAAACAAATCCAGAATAAGAGAGAACACAAGAAGCATGTTTGAATTGAAGCAGCATTAGCTGTGAATTCGGAGCTGGTTTCAGATCAGATGAGTTTGGTCTTTAGCCCATGAGTTTCATAGGTTTCACCCCTCCTAGTTGGATTATTCCAGGCAGAAGCTTTGATAGTTGCTAGAAAAGCTGCAACACAGTTGTGTCCTTTCTCCCTCTTCAGGTTGGCATCACCAAAGTGTTCGCGGAGGTTCTTCCCTCCCACAAAGTGGCCAAGGTGAAGCAGCTCCAGGACGAAGGGAAGCGCGTGGCCATGGTTGGGGACGGCATCAACGACTCCCCGGCCCTTGCCATGGCCAATGTGGGAATTGCTATTGGCACAGGGACTGATGTGGCCATCGAAGCAGCTGATGTGGTTCTCATTAAGGTAAGAAATGAGTGCTTCTTTAAAATGAGCTGGTAAGAGGGGATAGACTCACAGAGCCATTAAGGCTGGAAAAGGGCTGTGAGATCATTGAGTCCAACCTGTGACCTAATACACCATGTCAACTAGACCAGCACACTAAGTGCCTTGTCCAGTCTCTCCTTAAACATCTCCAAGGATGGTGACTTCTCCGCCTCCCTGGGCAGCCTGTTCCAGTGTGTAATCACCCTTTCTGTGAAGACATTCTTTCTAACATCCAACCTGAGCTTCCCCTGATGCAGCTTAAAACTATATTCTCTTGTTCTCTGGGAGCAGAGTCTGACCCCCACCTAGCTACAACCTCCTTTTGGGTACTTGTAGAGAGTGATAAGGTCTCCCTTGAACCACTTCTTCAGGCTAAATAACCCCAGTTCCTTCAGCCCCTCCTCACAGGACTTGTGCTCCAGACTTTTCACCAGATCCTCTGCCCTTCTCTGGACATCCTCCAGTACCTCAATGTCCTTCTTGAAGTGAGGGGTCTGGAACTGGACACAGTAGAAGGCCCAGGATGTCTTGAGTGATACAGATCACTACTAAGGTGCACAGCCTCCACACCCAGGAGAACTGGAGCAGAGACTGTCTCCATCATGTTTGTTTAGTAAAGTGGTAATTATTCAATGAAGGGAACTTTCCAGTTTTCTCAGTACTGCACAGTTTGGGGTAATGAAAGTTTGAGTGGGCAAAGGAAGAAAAAGTGACCTGACCTTTGACAAACAAATTTTATTTCTGTAACGTACCACAGGACCTCCAGGGTTACATCACTTCTTCCTACATGTCAACAACACCCTGACAGATTGTGCTCAGTGTCTAGAGCTGTACTGTGAGGTGTTGTGTACATTACCTGGATTATGATGACATCTGGAGTGCTGATTGTATGGGCTGTGCTGCCAAACCAGAGCAGCCTACACAATACTTACTACACAGTCTGCTAGGTCTGGTGTGTGGTACTTAGCTATAAAACAGGAGTATGATGACACTGTGTACTTTTTTTTTTTCTCTCTGACCTCTCCAATAAACATTTTAACTTGCAGGATGACTTGATGGACGTGGTAGCAAGCATAGATTTATCGAGGAAAACTGTGAAGAGGATCCGGATCAACTTTGTGTTTGCTCTAATTTATAATCTCGTTGGAGTTCCCATAGCTGCAGGTATGTGATGAGTGTTCTCTGCACTAATTAGGTTGGGCTCAGTGAGTAGGAGGTTGTAGTAATTTGGTGTTGTGTGGGAGAGTTTCCATTTCTTTCTTTCTGTCAGTAAGGGCAGAGTTCTCTGCCTGGGGACATTGCAGTGGAATATTTGTGACCTGTCCTCCTTCCATGCTGTGGCTACTAGGGATATGCTCCGAACATCAAAATAACTTTTGAGAAAAAAGGTTTATTGAATGAACCTGACCCTGTGAACAAGCAGTTTACTGTAGAGTGATCAGGACACGCCACCTCTATGTTTTAGAGTGTGCAAGTGACACATCCAGGTGTGTATTCACCTCAGGTTCTAGCTGAGATAGAACACAAATCCTTATGTATTAAATATTTGTTGTTAAAACTAAAATCCTGTTTATTAACACATTGAATTACAGCTAAAACTAGACAGTTCATGTGAAATTGTGCATGGTAATATATAAATAGTGCATTGTTCCTGCTGTGAACTTCTTGCTGGTTTAATTTTCTAGGTGTTTTCTTGCCCATTGGTTTGGTTTTGCAGCCCTGGATGGGATCTGCAGCCATGGCTGCCTCTTCGGTGTCTGTTGTGCTCTCTTCTTTGCTGTTAAAGATGTGAGTAGCAGTAGTCTTGTGGCTTGTCATTTGGATTTGAAGCTCATGTCTTTCAGTGGCAGAAAAGAAGTGTGATCTCTCTGTGAGAGATTTCAAAGAGAGATTTCCAAGACTTTTGAAGAGCAGTTCAGGCAAGTCTGTGTTTAGCAGACAGTAGTGCTTAAAAATGTCATTTCTAATGTGAAGAGAAATGGTACAATCAGAAGTGTGTTCAGAATGGAAAAGTCCTTAGTGGCCTTCATGTATTTGTGAGAAATCTTAGCGATCAAATTACAGATGTCTCTGGTTTGTGCACAGTCATAGCACACAGGCAAGTTTCTCTCCATATTTCAGTGTTCTTCACTTCAGCCTGAGAGGTTTCATTATCTTCTGTCTTTTCCTTCCTTCAGGTACCAGAAACCAAGTTCTGAGAAACTCGAGTTCCGGGCACGTGGCCAAATGAGGCACAAGAGTCCATCAGAGATCAGTGTCCATGTTGGAATCGATGAGACTGGGACAGGCTCTCCCAAACTGAGCCTGATGGATCGATTCATCAATTACAGCAGAGCCTCTATAAACTCTCTGTTCTCAGACAAGCGTTCGGTGAACAGCATCGTCCTCGGGGAGCCAGATAAACACTCGCTCTTGGTGGGGGATTTTGGAGAGGATGATGACACAGCCTTGTGAAACACTTGCTCCTCCCACTTCCTTTTCCACGAAGGAAAAAAGCAAACAAAGAACAAGAAGCAAAATGAAAACACAACCAAAACAGCTGTGTAGAGGCCTGTGCATGTACTGCTACTTCTGGAGGTCTTTCAGATGCATTTCTTCTTCAGTGTAGAGAGGTAGTTCTTGCAGTGACTTTCCAGGGGCTTTTTTGTTTTTCATCTAGACTTACCAAAAACCTTGGTGCAGGGCTGTTGATGCTCACAAACAGGGCTGTGTTCCCATTCCATGAGGCCTGCAGTATAGCATTTATTTTGGCAAATTGTCAAAATACAATTAAGGAAACTTCTTTCCCAGCCTTTCCCAGGCTACTTTATGCATAGTCAAGGTCAGTACTGTGTTGATAATTGTTAGTTACTGCATCTGCAGAATACTGAGGGTTCTGTTTGCAAAGAGATGTGCCTTACTCCAGAACTTCAGGACCCCTCATGTTTCCACAGCCTGCCTTCTGCCAGAAGTGGTTCCTCTCAAATGCCTTTTCGTTTTATAAGCATCTGGTTCCAGCTTTTCACACTCCAAATCATCTCAGTGCTTGATCTGAATTCCTGTGCAGCAGAGAATGGAGAGGCTTTGGGGTCACAGCCACACTGAGGTCTGTACATCATGCCCTGGACACTCCTGCTGCTGAGACTGTCTGCTTGAAGGTTGACTGGGTTGGGATGTTTGCTCATTCCCAACCTCTCCTAAGCCAAAAAACTCCTGCAACATCCGAATGCAATATCCATGTGATGTGATATTAGCCAAAATGTTAAGCTCTTAGGGAGGCAGCAGTGTAGTTAGTGCTCACTGCCAGTATTTACTGGCACTCCTTCAATGAACCAGGAAAGTTTGTCATACGCACTGCCTTTAATATCCTTACAGCTCAGTCTTTGCTTGTAAAGATAAGTGTCTGTATTCCAGGAATGGTCCAGAATCCACTCCATGGGTTGATCCAAACCCCCTTTGCTTGGGCTGTTCAGATCCGGAAGTTGTGAATTCAGACAATCTTCATTTGTTACGGAACTGCAATATCAAACTGCAGCTTTTGATCATGAAATCATGAATATTAAGAATACCCTCAGTGAGAAACGTGTTCATTGCCCAGAGCCTGGTTACCTGTTTGGCACTCACTGAACCTTGCTCTCCACACCCGCTGCCGACGCAGCCGTGGGCAGCAATCCCTGCGTTCCATAATGTTCAGTTTCATTATGAAGCACAGTCCATGGTGCAAACACGTAGTGTCAGTTTTGCTTGTAGAGGAGAAATGCTCAGTTTGAAGTACAATAGAGATCTCTATAATGTTCTGTTTTTTAACTTGAAGCCTGATGTCAGGGCATGGATTGTGTATGTAAAAACTCCTGAGTAAGTAGCTTTTGCATTTTATCTGAGAACTACCAGAAAAGTGCTGTGTGTGAGGGCAGAAGAGCTGTGCTGTGGGATGTGTTGTTAGTGATTCAATGTACTTGCTGTGTTGCAGTGAGGACAACAACATCATGTGTTGCTGCCACTTGTTTAAGAAACAAAATATTTCTTTTGCAGGATTTGGGTTCTTATATCTCAATGTGACTATAGAGTATTTTTATAAGTGAGATTATAGCTGTGTGTAATACTGTAGCGTGTTCCATGCTGAGATATGCCACTGCAAAGCCATTCCAGGAGATGATGTTTCCAGTTTGCAGCAGCAGAGCTGCTCTTACAAAGCAGATCGTTACCCTAAAGCTGTTGGATCGTGTTACAATCGGTTTTAGTGTTCACAATCATGAAAACGTTTCCAAAGATTTCACTTCTCTTGTTTATCCACCCTCACTCTTGTTTTTCTTGGCATGTTATTTCTGCAGGTGAAAGCAAAGTATGTGCATGTTTTTGTCTGATTGTGCAGTGGGTGGCCTCAGTCACGCAGTGAAGGCAGATCCCAACGTGCTCCACATGGGAATTTCACTGCTACAGGTGCTGGCTATGGTGTGTATGGCTTGGAAATGACAGGCATCATGCTCTTACTGCAGGAGGTAGGGAGGTAATTCAGGGTTAAATTCCTGATTGGTAGATAAAGCAGCATAAAGAACTTGTTAAATTATTTCCTAGTATATTTTTAGAGCACTTTGCCTTCAACCTTTTGTCCAGACTGTATGTAGAGTGGATGCTTAGGGGGACTGCTGGCTTCATCTCCAGCTTTTTCCCAGGACAGATGTTTTTCTAGGCTTTTTTTAATCCTAGATGTTTTCAGGCTTCTTCACTTTCTGTAACGCCCAGTGTTTGATCCCTTACAGCAAAATAAGGCTCCTTTTCCAAACCAGGATACTTTAGTGAGGTGCAGAGGTGATTATCTGGGAATCAGGAACAGTAGATGCTGGCTGAGAGGGATGAGAGAGCAGCTTGTAGGGACAGCCAGAGGATCAGACTCTGGGGAGAGCACAGAAGTGAGGCACATCCCAGTGCTAGCATAAGCACCAATGGGGGATAAGGTGGTTGTGGTGAATTCAGGTCCAGGTCTCTGAAAGAGATTATCTGTCCAACACTCCCCAAAGGTGTGTTAGTGACTTCCAGAGTGTTTGTCTAGTGATTCAATTATTAAATTAAGGTGCTTTATGTTAAAGAACCAAAACATCTTTTAGTTTGAATGTACAGTGCAAGTGGAAAAATGTGGGAGCTAAATGTTTTAATATGTAAATAGGTTACTCCTGTTGGAGACAGTTGGGATTCAGAAATTTAAAATATCACTTGGAAACACACAACCAAACTTGTATTGCTCCTTTGTCTATTTTATTGTTTTCTGTAGCTATTTATAAAACCTGTGCTCTATTTAATAAACAAAGTACCTATTCTCCAGGCTTTAAAAATTGCTCTTTGACTCTTAGCAATAAACTTGTTTAAGAGTTTAAAACACTTGAAATTTTATAGAAAAAAATGAATGTGAAGTTGGGACAGAACACAATGGAAGTAAGTCTTTTTATTTATTAAAAACTCTGCTTGTTTTTTTGCTTAGGATTTCCAACAAAACGTTTTGAACTTGAGAAATTATTTTACTCAGTTTTGCTATGAAGAATAGCCAGTGAATGCTGGTGTGGAATGTTCATGTAGGGCTGTTACAGTTCTTTACAGCAAGAAACATGTTGTTTCACGCTTCCTGTTCTTTTAAGTCTGTGCCTCCATCATTACAATGGCAATTATAAGCTATGTAATAAAAATACAAGAGCTAAAGGCTGGTTTAAATCCTGTTCTGTGATCTCCTTGAAATCTGTCTTTTGCTGACTTGGCAGGTTGTGCTGCCAGCTGTGCAAAATGCCTCCCTGTGCCTTCAGCTCGGAGGCCAAGTGTGGCCCTTTGGGGATGTGGAGATGATGGATTGTCCTGCTGGGGCTGAGCTGACACGTGCAGGATGGAGGTTCCCAGAGCAGATTTACCTGTCATTGCACTTCATCCTCCCCAAGTGAGAGCTCTCAGGGGAAAACACAACAGGTGAAGCACTGGTGCTTTCTGCTTGCTCAGCAAAAGGCTGAGGATTGGGGTTTATGTGCATTTCCAGCTCCACTAGACATGGCCTTCAGCAAACACTGCATGAAACTGTAGGGCTGGGGGCAAGTGGTGTTGGTGAATGTTGGAGAATTGTGGGATGATCATCATGTAAGAGCATCACAGGCTGGAAGAGGCTGTTGGGGGGTCACATAGTCAAAACAAGTCACAGCAGGTGAGCTCAAGCTGATTTCTCAGGACTGAGGGTTTAGCATCTCCACAACTTCTGGGGCAGGCTTTTCCAGGGGCCAGTCACCTCAGAGTGAAAAAGTGTTAGGATGAAATTTCTCATGTTTTGCTTTGTACCCATTGATTCTTGTTCTCTCCCTGGGTGCTACTGAGCACAGTCAGGCTGAAGTGTACTTAGGTGTCCCAAAGAGAAGTGCCACATGTGAAAGAATGGAGGAAACACCATGTAAGTGCTCCATGTTCCTCTCCTAGAGATGCCAGGCTCCCAGCCCCAGGATAGTCATTTGGATTGAAATGTAGCACTAATCTGCCAAAGCCTAGACACTGTCCTGAATAGTGTTTGGAGGAATGCAGAGCACTTACTCCCACTCAGCCCCCAGCTGTCTTGTGGTAGAGGAGGTCCTGGCAGCCGAACTGGTGCCAGACTGTGTTCTGGGGGACAGTGCAGCTCCAGGATGTTTATATGTTCAGTTTTTCAGGAGAGAAAAAAGGTGAGAAGCCTGAGAAGGTCTTAGATTGTTGAGTTTTCTAGATGCATTTCTCAAGCATTTTAACTAAATAGTCACTGAATGTTCTAGTACTACTTTGGAGTACTGGAAAGAAACCCAAACCTACTCTGTCCATTCCTCCATGCTATGCACCTGTTCGCAGGTAGTGGTGCCATTTTTATTGTATGGCCAGAAAAAGAATTCCTGTTTCATTTTTCTGGATTGCTCAGGCCAGGGTCCCACACAGCTCTGCATTCTCCCTGGGCCCTCAGCTCATCTCCTCACAGCACTGAGCTGGTCTCAGCTGGAGACAGCGTGGAGATTTTGGTGCAATGCTGAAGGCCTCCCCTTGTGTCTCCTTCCCTGTCTGAGATGACTCGGTGCTTGGCTATAGCTAGATGGGCAGATCCTGCTGCACTAGGGAGCTGGGACAGATCCTGAGGTTGCACTGCTGGGGAGTGGGAAGGAGGAGGTGGATCCCTTAGGCTGGCTTAGCTCTCATTGAGTGAGGCATGGGGAGATCCCACAGGCTGTACAGACACATGTACTGACTGCTAATTTTAGGCAAAAGGAGTTTTGTCTTCACTAACTCTGCTGTGTGTAGAAGTCCAAGTTTGAATCCATGTCTTTCCAAGATGAAGAATTTTGCTTTCAATAAAAACACAACCCTGTAATTTCATCCTCTTGGACTGACTCTTTGGCCTAATATGCCCCAACAGGTGTGGAAACCTACAGTTTTAGCACTTTTGGTTTGGAAAATGCAGGTTTGTTGCACAGAAATAGTAACCAAAACAT